ACACACACACACACACACACACACACACACACACACACGACCTACCTCTCTCCCCCCGTTCTCCACACACACACACATACACACACATACACACACACATACACACACAGACACACACACACACACACACACACACACAACTTACCTCCCTCCCCCCGTTCTCCACACACAAAGCCTTCACCTCGTCTAGCCTGCCTTTATCTCTAGCAGTGAGCACTAGACGAGCTCCTAGCTTAGACAGGCTCAACGCTGTCTCTTTGCCCAGTCCCGAGTTGCCGCCTGAGGGTGAACAGAGGTGAGGTGAGGTGAGGTGAGGTGAGGTGAGGTAAGGTGAGGTAAGGTGAGGTAAGGTGAGGTGAGGTGAGGTGGTGTGAGATGAGATGAGGTGAGGTGGTGTGAGGTGAGATGGGATAGGAGGGGACGGGATGAAGTGCGATGAGGTGAGACGAGATGAGATGGGGTGATGTGAGATGAGATGGGGTGATGTGAGATGAGATGGGGTGATGTGAGATGAGATGGGGTGATGTGAGATGAGGTGAGATGAGGTAAGATGCGGTGAGGTGGGGTGAGGTGGGGTGAGGTGGGGTGAGGTGAGGTAAGGTGAACTGAGCTGAGATGAGTAGAGATGAGATGAGATGAGGTGAGATGAGACGGGATGGGATGGGATGGGATAGGATTGGATTAGGTGAAGTGAGGAGAGGTGAGCTGAGGTGAGATGAGGTGAAGTGAGGTGAGATGAGGTGAGGTGAGGTGAGTTGAGGTGAGATGAGATGAGATGAGATGAGGTGAGATGAGGTGAGGTGAGGTGAGGTGAGGTGAGTTGAGGTGAGGTGAGATGAGGTGAGATGAGGTGAGGTGAGGTGAGGTGAGGTGAGGTGAGGTGAGGTGAGGTGAGATGAGGTGAGGTGAGGTGAGGTGAGTTGAAGTGAGATGAGGTGAGATGAGATGAGGTGAGGTGAGGTTAGGTGAGGTGAGATGAGGTGAGATGAGGTGAGATGAGGTGATGTGAGGTGAGGTGAGGTGAGGTGAGGTGAGGTGAGGGGATGTGAGGTGAGGTGAGGTGAGGTGACCTTGCCCTCTCAACGTACCTGTGATAACGACGACCTTGCCTTTGAAGTCTGCCG